TTGAGTATCTATAAGAAAATAAATTCTGATACTTTCTAATTTAAAATTAACTGTTTGAGGTTTATTCACTTCATCTATTGCATAAGTAATCAATATTCAGTAGCTATTTAATATAATAGAGTGAGAAATTATGAACTGATATATACAGAATGTTGAAGACTAATTTTTTTTTTATAGGCAGAACTTCTAGATGCTGCTGCTGGTATTAATGTACGATTCAGATTAGGTGGTGTAAGTATGGATAAATTCTTACTTAGTAGTATTAAAGCACATTTGTATGGAATTTAAAAGATGTAATTTTTAAAAACATAGACCATTTTCCTAATTAAATTGACATGGTTCTTTTAACTTTTCCATCTACAGGTTAAATTTCCACCTGAAATATACTATAAAATTTTCACTCACAGACATATTGAAGATCTGTGTGCTAATAGCCCTAGAGACTACACAAAACTTCCAGCAAAACGTACATCTCATATTAAAAGTGATGATCTTCAGGAAGAGGATTATAGTGGCTGGTATCGTCGTATAGAGAACAATGGCTGGAGGCCTGTTTGTGAGACAGTAAGAACAGATAAATATTAATAATTTTCTATGTTATATGATTAGAAACCTATCTGCCTTTCTGAAAGTTAATTTTCAAATTTATTTTAAATAATAAATTCTACTAATTTAACTGATAAAATTTGCTTAATTACTCTGAGGCTACTGGTATATTTCAAGATTCAGCAATATCTTTTTTTTAACATATACTTCTGCTTTTAATAATCAGCTTTGAATCCAGACCATCATTAGATACTCTCTGGCACTCACCAATTACCCATCTTTATAATAAAGCAAATCTGAAGATGTTATTGACTCTAATTAATCCCTGGACAAGAAATGGGTGTTCTTGAGACTAATATCCCATTTTCTCTACATAGCTTGTAACAGCAGACCCTAGTGGGAAATCACTTGGGTTTTCATGGTGTTGGAAAATATAACATGTATTTATATGAACTGAACAGAATGATTTTAAATATACATGGTTTCTAATGCATATATGTGATTTGAGAATTTTTCTATAGACATGTTTGTTTAATCTCCTTTTAGTGGAAGTATTTTTTATCCAGGGATATTTGTAAACTTATATTCTAAAAGTTAACATTATCTAGTTGTATAGTTCTGGATGTTTGTTTATATGGCCTCAAGTATCTTCATTCAAATCCCTCAGTCTCTGATACACAGATTGTAGAATGTGGTATATTGAATATACTAAGTATGAAAAATGATCAACGTGTGAATTCATTCAGTCAACAAATTTTATTGCATACCAGTTAGATGTATGGCATTTTACTAGATTCTTAAGAAGCAGTGGTAAATAAAAATATTCCTCCACTCAAGTAGTTTGCCTTTTAATTAAGAAGAGAGTCAAGTAAACAGGATATTTCAGTACAGTGCTTTAATAGGGCAGATTCTGAGTGTTTGGGGGGATAAACTCTCCTCTTTGTTATTTAATGTGTATGTGGTTAGGGAGGAGGAATGAACTGAAAATAGAAAAACAAGCAACCAGCTAGTATAAAGCATCATACAGTGGAAATCACAAAGTTTCCGAGAAGGCAATGGCATCCCACTCCAGTACTCTTGCCTGGAAAATCCCATGGACGGAGGAGCCTGGTAGGCTGCAGTCCATGGGGTCGCTAGGAGTTGGACACGACTAAGCGACTTCACTTTGACTTTTCACTTTCATGCATTGGAGAAGGAAATGGCAACCTACTCCAGTATTCTTGCCTGGAGAATCCCAGGGACGGGGGAGCCTGGTGGGCTGCCGTCTATGGNAGTGTTCTTGCCTGGAGAATCCCAGGGACGGGGGAGCCTGGTGGGCTGCCGTCTATGGGGTCGCACAGAGTCGGACACGACTGAAGCGACTTAGCAGCAGCAGCATGAAGTCTTAGGATACAGTGGTGAGACTTCTGTATTCTTGGAGGGTGCCCATATTCCTTGAGGATTTGTTGTTATTGTTCAGTTGCTAAGTTGTGTCTGACTCTTTGTGACCCCATGAACTGTAGCATGCCAGGCTTCCATGTCCTTCACTATCTCCCTGAGTTTGCTCAAACTCATGTCCATTGAGTCGGTGATGCCATCCAACCATCTCATCCTCTGTCATTCTCTTCTCCTGTTACCCTCAATCTTTCCCAGCATCAGGGTCTTTTCTTTTCCAGTGAGTTGGCTCTTCCCATCAAAGGCCATCAGTACTTTGGTGGCAAAGTACTGAGGATTAGAGTCTTAAAAAGTCAGTAGCACCTACTGCTCGGCTGTGTTCTTATGAGAAACTAAAACACCCCTAGAATATGTCTATTCACTTATTCATTCAACAAGTACTTATTAAATAGTACCTCAGTATACTAATCCTTTTTAGTTTTTCTGTGGCATGTGCTCTTAAGGCTCAATGTGCTATTCACTCAATTAGAAATATCTTAAAAGGGTCTATCCTCTCCTCTATTTCTATCTTGGTATATTCCTACTGAACACACAGAAGTTCTTATTTATAGTCAGATTACCTCACAATCAGTAATTTAATATTTTGTGTATTCATTTTTCATTTCTCAATAGTTTTTGAGGCCTGCTGAAAATGTGATCATGGGAGACAAAAAGGAAAGTGAATTCCACTTCTCCAAACTGAAGAGAAGGCAAGATATGGAAAAGAAAAGAAAAATTAGAAAAATAGAATGGATGCAGCAAATGTAAGTTGATGAAATACTTAGAATTATTAAAGAAGTATATAGTTGTTTTCAAAAATTGCTATCACTAGTAAAAATAGCTACATGTTATTTCAAAAATAAGATGAAAGATTACAGTTATTTTTTAAAAATACATAGAAAGCAAATATTTAATAAATGCTTGCTAGAGACTGTTAATATCTAAGATATAAGTGGAAAAAGACAAATTCTCTTTGACCTCAAGGAAATCACAATCTTTTGCCACATGAGATGAAAATCAGCATTTACTTTAATATTTGAGATTAATATGACTTATTCACCAGGCATAGGTATTCCCTGGTGGCTCAGATGGTAAAGAGTCTGCCTGCAATGCAGGAGAACCAGATTCAATCCCTGGGTTAGGAAGATCCCCTGGAGAAGGAAGTGGCAACCCACTCCAGTATTCTTGCCTAGAAAAATCCCATGGACGGAGGAGCGTGGCAGGCTACAGTCCTTGGGGTCGCAAATAGTTGGACACAACTGAAGCAACTTCACTAATACGACCTTCTAGACTTACTCTATACCATTCTCAACCTTTTTATGTCCCCTAAAGAAACTGACATGTAAGGATTACACTAAAAAGTATTCTGCACCTATCTAACAAATATCAAAAGCAAGTCTCAAAGGACTCAAATCATACCCAAGTTTACTTGACAGTGTATAAGAACAGTGGAGAAGGGAATGGCAACCCACTCCCGTATTCTTGCCTGGGACATCCCACAGACAGAGGAGCTTGGTAGACTACAGCCCAGGGAGTTGCAGAGAGTCAAACATGACTGAGCAACTGAGCGCACACCACGTACATACAAGAACAAAGCCCCCAGATATTTAAAGGAATCCAAAAACACTTCAGTGCTCTAAATCATATAAAATTAACAGTGTCTACCATGTAGTAATCAATTGCCATGCATTCAAAGAAGCAGGAAAATATCCTGAGAAGAAAAATAATATCAGCCAACTCGGCCAAACACCCATGGCTGATTCATGTCAAAGGTATGGCAAAATTCACTACAATATTGTAAAGTAACTAGCCTTCAATTAAAATAAACAAATTAATAAAATAAAAAGACAGGAAAACTTTTCAGATAGATAAAAGCTGAAGAAGAAAAGTGATTCTAAGTAAAAATCTAGATCCATACAAGAATGAAGAACACCAAAAATGGTAACTGTGTAAGTAAATGTTCTTCTTACTACTTAAACCTCTTTAAAAAGTAATTAACTAACTACTGAACTATACACTTAAAAATAGTCAAGATAAATAGTTAAGATGATAAATTTTATGTCATTTTTACCACAATTTTTTAAATGATAGGGATTACATTTTTATACTGAAAAGTAATAAGCTAATATTGATGTTGCCAATCAAGTTATACTTAAGTTCCTGATTCCACAATTATACTCCTTTTCTCTTATATTGAAAAACTTCATCAAATATGATAAAATTACTGGACTTCCCTGGTGGTGCAGTGGAAAAGAAATGCCTACCAATGCAAGAGACATGAGTTCAATCCCTGGTCCAGAAAGATTCCACATGCTGTGGTGCAATTAAGCGAATGTGTGATAACTACTGAGCCTGCATTCTAGAGCATGCAGGTCACAACTGTTTAACCTGTGAGCTGCAACTACTGAAGCCTGTGTACCCAGAGCCTGTGCTCCACGACAAGAAAAGCCACAGCAATGAGAAGCCCACACACTGCAACAAAGAGTAGCCCCTGCTGGCCACAACCAGAGAAAGTTTGCCTAAAGTGGACAATAAATTAGTAAAGCTATAGAAGGTTGGAGTAACACTATCAACCAACTTGACATAATTGGCTAGAGCGCTGAACTCAACCAAAGAAAACAGATTCTTTTCAAGTGCACATGAAAAACCTTCACCAAAATACACCATATTCTGGGTCATGAAATAAATATCTATAAATTTAAAAGAATTAAAATCATACAAAGGAAGTTTTCTAATCATGATGATATTAGAAATAATTTATTTTTTTTTTATGGAATAAAATTTGTATTTAATCAGAATGACTATCTAGGACCCTGTTCTGGTGTTGAAAGCATGGTGTCTTAATCTGAAGGAAGTAAGTGGAATTGTTAAATCTCTTTTTGTTGTTATTTACCTACTACAACCAACTAGGTTAGTGCATTAATTTGAAACAGTTCCAAAATACATTGTTTTTAAAAAACAATGGCACCTATAAAAAAGATAGTATGATGCTAGATAGAAATGTTGAAATGACTGATGGGTAATATTTTTTAAAACTTCCATTTTTGGTTGGCATAAATTTCCTTTAATAATTTCTACATTTAGGATTTCATTTGAGGTTTAACATATCAAGCCAGTATTGTTTTTCAGTTTTAGTAATTCTGGATTCCAGGTCATTTAAGATGAAAATGGAAATGCAAAGTTTACTTAAGAAATTTAATTTTCTTCTTCTGTAACATCTAAGTCTTCATCCTCTTCATCATCTTCTTCTGTTTGCTGATCCTTTCTTAGTCGACAGGTCAATACCTGTCCTGTTCCAGATACACACTTAGCTGACAATGATCTTTGAAGAGGTGACTTCGAATTTGCTCTTACAATATCTAAACGGGATGGATAATCTTGGGGATACAGAGAATGTCGGAAAACCTCTAAATCTTCTTCTTCATCAATCTTTTGTATATTTTGGTAGGCAGCAGTGTAGACCTCTAAAGCTTTGCCGTGAAATAACATTTCAATAGTGATAAATTCTGAAAATATAGTCTTTATATCCTTTATTTTCTGCTTTTCAAAATTGTCAGTAGTTTCCTCCAGATGACGAGTTGTTCGGGTAGCATCCATTGTAGCTCTTTGTAATTCAGTTTCTGCCTGTGAAATAACATGTCGATCAGATGGATTTCTCTGACGTGTTCTTTCTAACTGAGTTAACTGTTTAGCTTCTCGATTCCTTGCTGTTAATGTTGCTTTGAGATCATCTCGCTTCATTTTTACAATGGTTCCATAAGCTTTCAAAGGTTCAGCTACTTTGGCTTCAAGTCTTTCAACCTCGGCTTGTCGATAATCCTGAAGTTTGGCAAACTCGTCCGCAAAGTTTTTCAGGCCCTGCTTTAAGTGCGGGGTCTCAGTAGAGGCATACACTTTGATTTCGTTCACCAGGAGGTCCGCTTTGTCTCGCAGTCGGGCGGTTTTCCGCACGTACGCAGCAAAGATCTGGCACGGCTCTCCGAAATGTTTCTACACATTGGTGACAGCATCTTGCAGTTGTCTGGTCTGAGCATCCCGGTTTTCCAAGCTGCGCCTCAACATGCTGCCTCGCTCACTGCTGGAGACCCCGGGCTGAGGCCCAACGACAGGGTCTCGGCGCCTGGACGTGCGCTGGGGTGCGAGAGCCCGCCCCGCTAGAAATAATTTAAAACAGAGTAAAATAACAGAAACATTTCTTGATTTCTGGAAAAACCTCCAAATACTTGGATATTAAACAGCATATCTTCAAATAATCCATAAGTCAAAGTCACAAAAGGAACTTGAAAATATTTTTGGTTAATAAAAAATGAAAACAGCATACTAAAATTGGGGAAATGCAGCTAAAGAAGTACTTACAGGAAAATTTATATCATTTTCTATGAGACTAGTGTTATCAGATAAAAAACTACTCAAGATTTACGAGGGAAAAAAACAAAAAATAACAAACCAATATTCTCTTATGAACATGATAATAAGTAACATTATAAACAAATGGAGTTTATCCTTGGAATACAAGATTGGTTGGAAATCAATCAATGCAATTCACCAAATTAGCAGACTTTAAAAAGAAAACTGGATATGATGATTTCAAAAAGATGCAGAAAAAGTATTTAGAAAAGTCTAGCTAACATTTGTAATTAAAATTCTTGGCAAATTAAGAATAGATATGAGCCTCCTCAACTTGATGAAGAGCATCTATGAAAAGCCTGCAGCCAACATGATACCTAATGGTGAGTGGCTGAATGCTTTCTCTCTAAGATCAGATGTCTGCACTCACTACCTCTTCACAACATTGCACTGGATGTCCTCGTTAGCGCAATAAGGGTGGCAGGGTGGAATTGTGGGAGAGAGACTGAGATTGGAAAAGAAGAACTAAAATAATCTTTAATCACAATTGATATGATCATCTGAGGTTAGTGATATTTCTCATGGCAGTCTTAATTCCAGCTTATGCTTCATCCAGCCCGGCATTTCGCATGATGTACTCTGCATATAACTTAAACAAGCAGAATGACAATATACCTTAACGTACTGTTTTCCCAATTTGGAACCAGTCCGTTGTTCCATGTCCAGTTCTAACTGTTCCTTCTTGACCTGCATACAGATTTCTCAGGAGGCAGGTAAGGTGGTCTGGTATTCCCATCTCTTTAAGAATTTTCCACAATTTGACTGTGATCCACACAGTCAAATACTTTAGCATAGTCAGTGAAGCAGAAGTAGATGTTTTTCTGGAATTCTCTTGCTTTTTCTATGATCCAGTGGATGTTGGCAATTTGAAATACTGGGCTGGATGAAGTACTAGCTGGAATCAAGATTGCTAGGAGAAATATCAATAATCTCAGATATGCAGATGATACCACCCTCATGGCAGAAAGTGAAGAGAAACTAAAAAGCCTCTTGATGAAAGTGAAAGAGGAGAGTGAAAAAGTTGGCTTAAAGCTCAACATTCAGAAAACTAAGATCATGACATCTGGTCCCATCACTTCATGGCAAATAGATGGGGAAAGTGGAAACAGTGGCTGACTTTATTTTTCTGGGCTCCAAAATCACTGCAGATGGTGATTGCAGCCATGAAATTAAAAGACGCTTTCTCCTTGGAAGGAAAGTTATGAACAACCTAGACAGCATATTAAAAAGCAGAGACATTACTTTGCCAACAAAGGTCTGTCTAGTCAAGGCTATGGTTTTTCCAATGGTCATGTATGGACGTGAGAACTGGACTGTGAAGAAAACTGAGCACCGAAAAATTGATGCTTTTCAACTGTGGTGTTAGAGAAGACTCTTGAGAGTCCCTTGGACTGCAAGGAGATCCAACCAGTCCATCCTGAAGGAGATAAGTCCTGGGTGTTCATTGGAAGGACTGATGTTGAAGCTGAAACTCCAGTACTTTGGCCACCTGATGCAAAGAGCTGACTCATTGGAAAAGTCCCTGATGCTGGGAAAGATTGAGGGCAAGAAGAGAAGGGGATGACAGAAGATGAGATGGTTTGATGGCATCCCCGACTCAATGGACATGGATTTGGGTAGACTCTGGGAGTTGGTGATGGACAGGGAGGCCTGACATGCTGCGGTTCATGGAGTCGCAAAGAGTCAGAAACGACTGAGCAACTGAACCGAACTGAACTACAAACAAAGCTAGTGGAGGTGATGGAATTCCAGCTGAGCTATTTCAAATCCTAAAACATGATGCTGTTAAAGTGCTACACTCAATATGCCAGCAAATTTGGAAAACTCAACAATGGCCATCTGACTGAAAAAGTTCAGTTTTCCTTCCATTCCGAAAGAAAGTCAATGCCAAAGAATGTTCAAACTACCATATAATTGTGCTCATTTCACATGCTAGCAAGGTAGTGCTCAAAATCCTTCAAGCTAGGCTTCAGAAGTACATGGACCGAGAACTTCCAGATGTACTAGCTAGATTTACAAAAGGCAGAGAAATCAGAGATCAAATTGCCAACATCTATTGGATTGTAGAATAAAACAAGGGGATTCCAGAAAAACATCTGCTTCATTGACTACACTAAAACCTTTTACTGTGTGGATCACAACAAAGCGGAAAATTCTTAAAAGAGCTAGGAATACCAGACCACCTTACCTGTCTCTTGAGAAACCTGTATGCAGGACAAGAAGCAGCAGTTAACACCCGACATGGAACAATGTACCAATTAAAAATTGAGAAAGCAGTATGTACATCAAAGCTGTACATTGTCACTCTGCTTATTTAACTTCTGTGCAGAGTACATGATGTGAAATGCCAGGCTAGATGATCACAAGTTGTATCAAGATTGCCAGGAGAAATATCAGCAGTCTCAGATATGCAGATGATATCACTGTAATGGCAGAAAGCAAAGAGGGACTAAAGAGCCTCTTGATGAGAGTGAAAGAGAATGAAAAAGGTGGCTTAAAACTCAACATTCAAAAACTAAGATCATGGCATCTGGTCCCATCACTTCGTGGTAATAGATGGGGAAAAAGTGGAAACAGTGGCAGATTTTCTTTTCTTTTTTTTTTTGAACATTAATATATACTATTTTATTTTTATTTTTTTTCCATTTATTTTTATTAGTTGGAGGCTAATTACTTTACATCATTGCAGTGGTTTTTGTCATACATTGAAATGAATTAGCCATGGATTTACATGTATTCCCCATCCCGGTCCCCCCTCCCACCTCCCTCTCCACCCGATCCCTCTGGGTCTTCCCAGTGCACCAGGCCCGAGCACTTGTCTCATGCACCCAACCTGGGCTGGTGATCTGTTTCACCCTAGATAATATACATGTTTTGATGCTGTTCTCTTGAAACATCCCACTCTTGCCTTCTCCCAGAGTCCACAAGTCTGTTCTATACATCTGGTTTTTTTTCTTGTGCTCCAAAATCACGGCAGATGGTGACTGCAGCCATGAAATTAAAAAAGGCTTGCTCTTTGGAAGAAAAGTTATGACCAACCTAGACAGCATATTAGAAAGCAGAGACATTACTTTGCCAACAAAGTCAGTATAGCCAAAGCTATGGTTTTTCCAGTAGTCATATATGAATATGAGAGTTGGACCATAAAGAAGGCTGAGCACTGAAGAATTGATGCTTTCGAACTGTGGTGCTGGAGAAGACTCTTGAGAGCCCTTTGGACTATAAGGAGATCAAGGCAGTCAATCCTAAAGGAAATCAATCCTGAATATTCATTAGAAGAACTGATGCTGAAGCTCCAATGCCTTGGCCACCTAATGCAAAGAGCCAGCTCATTGGAAAAGACACTGTTGCTGGGAAAGAGTGAGGACAAGAGGAGAAGGGGGCAGAAGAGGATGAGATGGTTGGATGGCATCATTTTCTTAGTGGACATGAGTCTAAGCAAACTCCAGGAGATAGTGAAGGACTGGGAAGTCTGGCATGCTGCTGTTCATGGGGTTTCAGAGTCAGACATAACTTGGCAACTGAACAACAGCAACAACTCAGTAACTGCTCACATTGTCCAGGCTACAGGGATGGAAGCTATACCTAGACTCATAAATATAGTCTTTTCTTCACTAAGGCCATTCTGGCTATATAGTCACATCTGACTGTACAGCAAAAGTTATAACTTTGCCCTCCATAATGGGATATGTTGGCTACCCAGTGGCGGCCTAATTATACTGGGCTCTTCCCATAATACAGGAGGAACCCTTCTGTCTTCAGAATGATAAACATTCTGAATATGTATTATAGTTTATTTATCTGCTCCATCACTCTGTCAGCAATATCGTTTATTATGTTATGCCTATCCATCATGATTTTATTCCATACAACACTATCTACAACCAGGCGACTCATGTACAGCAAAGGAACTGTGGTCATGGACTCAGAAGAACAAAATACACTCATCATTGCCTAGAAACAGCTGACTTTGACAGAATGGCAGTAAGACTTGCTGACATTCAGCTGTAGCACCAGCTAGGAGCCATCTAGTAATAAGCTAATACACATGAATAATTTCCTATTTTATTTATTCTTTTTTTGTTTATTTATTCTCAAAACAGTCCTCATCCATAACTGAGCTCTGTATTTCTAATTATATGGTCATTTCCATCTCAAATTCAACAAGTCCAAAGTTCAATTTCTTGTTTCCCATCATAAAATGGGTTTCTTTTCAGTATTCCTCCTGGCCTCAGTTTATGACACTATCATTTTACCTAGTCATCCAAGCCAGAAATGCAGATGTTGCCCTAGATTTCTTACCTTTCATAAACTCCTGTACGTAACCCATCATTAGGTCTTATTAATTGTGCTTCCAAAGTATCTCCCAAATCTTCTCCCACTGCAAACTGCAGCATTTCATCATCCTCAACTCTACTTTACCGGGCAAGTCCTTCTAGTTGGTCTCTTTGTCTCTAATAGCTCCTCTGTTTGTTTGTTGTTCAGTTGCTTCAGTCATGTCTGACTCTTTGCGACCCGATGGACTGTAGCCCACTGGGCTCCTCTCTATATAAATCCTGAGGTGATATCTCTAAAACCGATTAAATCACTTACTTACCTGAAACCTATTTGGGGCTTCACATCACTTACATCCCACATGATATTCCTTATCCCTAGGTTGCTCTTGTCTGGCTCAGCAACCTTTGATATTTGGCTCAAATATCTCCTTCTGAAGTTTCA